GTGTGGCAAAGATAGCCCACTGACATGTCATCTGCAAAGCTTAATTTTGACAGCTAGATTGGTTCAGGTGACATCTCGTGACCACCTTCCCAAATCCACAACGATGGATTACTCATATAACACTGCTGCAATCATATGGTTCTTCAGAAAACTGAGAATATCATCTGATACCATGCACGCTTGATCATATTGTAAAGCAGGAATCTTGGAGCGCCTGGAGCTGATTGGCTAGCTCAGATCGAGGCAACTAAAAGATCATGAAGCTGGGTCGCAAGCAGCTCTTGATGTACCCGTTGGGACCCGTGCAAGAACCATGATTCAAGCCCATGATAGAGTATTCGCTCGCACGAAAGAGTAGTCCAACATGAGTCTCATTGAGCTTCAACATAATCTACTACGTTCTGCTCATCGAAAATGAATAATGGATGGGATAACTTGAATGATGTGTAGTAAAGGTCAACCAGGCAAAAGGCATGTCTCATAATATATAAACAAGCTACGTTGTCTTTCTTTGCTTGACTAAGGGTTTCTCCAACTGTGATGTTTAAAAATGTGACACCTTCAGGAAATTTGAAGCGTCCTTGCGTTCATGGCCAGGTTATCTTTGTTATCACGAATATTGATGTGATTTCATTACCATCCAATCACTATGCGTCATGAATGTTCAAAACAACCGCCATCAGTGATCAAGCCAAGGATAAGATACAAGGACACAAGCAAGGTATCGACGGGTATTCAGGCGATATGCATTGCTCGTAGGTTGGAAGCACCACGATACTTCTAACCATCTTGTCATCCTCTCTGTCTATTATATGCGACGTTTGTCACAACGGAGCGTAGGATAGTGATTATTTGCCCGCTACATGGTACCAGGGTAACAGAGAGTCTTTGCAAGTATCATCGAGATCAGCTGACACAACGGACATGAGCGATTTCCAAGTCATTTTACCTGGATGTGACCTAAATGAGTGAACCGCATGCTCGGACTCTCCCGAGCTCTTCCCTGTATTGATCCAGGCACGCAATCAGGAAACAAGAAGTGACAGTCATACGATGAGCAGTATACCATAGACTCTGGGCATCCAAGATACCGGCGTCGTCGAGCGAATGAATGAGCATATACACGCAAAGCTAGGGATAACGATCACCGACGTGGCAGCGGTCAAGTTAGATTATATATTAAAAACACAACACCACATGCACCAGATAACCTGATTTAATAAGAATTTTCTCTGGTTCACTATTTCTTCAAGGTAGCATCGGAGGGTAGGGTAATATACAACAAGCTTGGGTTCGCCGGCTCCCGTCCCGAAGACGCACTGTGTATAGAGTCCCAAACTCACACGGCTGAGGTACCTCACAGCACTCACGACTGCACACTTTTTCATCTCACATGAGTCTAACCTGCGGGCAGACTTCACTTACACGCAGCCCAGCGTCGAGGAAAACAACTAGCTCAACGCCCAACACACGCCCGACTTCCCCGTATTCTTCCATCTCACAGCGACCGAATCAGTCAAGCTGCAGAAGAGAACCGCCCGAGGCCAGCAAGGATTTGTTCCACCGGGTCGAGTGAAAGGCACACCCCTCTCCGTCGAAGGAACGCCCGCCACAAGATATCCAAGCCCAAGTCGCATAGGTAGTTTACCAAGGCCAACTTGCCCAAGGGTAACAAGAGGAAGAGTACCATGGCACCGCAGCAGAAGAACCAAGGACACCAACACCTGCCCGTCCCACCGGCAACCTTCACCACCCGCAAACACAAGATCCTGGAACAGCTCAGCGTGCCCGATGCAGAGTATACCGACGCCTCGCCCAAGGGGTCCGTGGACGTCGGTATCCGCGAGCTCATTGACGAGCTCAACGCCCTCGACGGTTTCGTCACGACGAGCAGCTGCGCGGGGCGCGTCAGCGTGTTTCTCGAGGGGCGTAAGGCGGGAGGAGCGGACCAGCGAGCAGCAGTAGCGGCAGTAGCCCCATCATCTTCTCAAGGCAACGAAGGCGATGATACCCCTGCCGCCGCGGCCCTCGAGACGATAGCTGGACCCGGAGGAAAGGGAGGCGGAGGCACGTGGCTGTTCGTATCGCACGATCCCGTTCCCGGATCGCACGACAACGACGAGGATCTGCTGCGCTTGTTTGGTCTCGTGGATGAAGACGCGGGAGGAGGAGCAGGGCAAGAACCAGGACGGGCTGTCGGAGTATCGGGTCGTTCTCAGTCTGGGCGACGGAAGCGGCTTGTTCACTTCAAGTTCGAGCCCATGGTATGCAAGACCGTCCCCCGTTTTCTCTCATGCATGATTTCATTTACACACACACATACTCTCACCTTATCTCACTAGCCTCCTGCCGAGGCAGTGTCACCCCAGAGACACACCCCTCCTTTCACACGTAGCCTGCGCAGCAACAAGACTCACATGACTGACATACACCTCCCCTGCATAGATCCTCCACGTCCTCACAGCGTCTCTATCTCACGCCCAGCTCCTCCTCAAATGCGCCCTCGCAGCAGGTTTCCGCGAAAGCGGCGCCCTGAACCTCCTCCCCACCGCATCGCAAGGCGAAGACGAAGCCTTGTCGTCATCACCCGTGACACCAATGGTAGGCGTAAGAACAATGGGTCTCGCTCTTGAATCTCTAATCGGTTACGTCGATGAAGACGCCGCCGAAGGCAGCAGCGCACGTCGGCACTGCACCGTCACGCCAGACTACCTCCGCGACCTGCTCCACATCGCCAACGAGCGCTTCGTAGAAAACGCCGCCCGCATCGCGCGGTTCCGCACCGCCTTGCAGGAGGCCGTCGCCGGACCCCCGCCAAAGACGGGCGAGGGCGGCGCCGCGTGGGAGGACGCCGACGCCAGGAGGGAGAGAAAGAGGGCTGAGGGCCTGCGGCGGAAGGAGGAGGTATTGGCTGCTAGGTTGAAGACGCAGCAGCAGGAAGCTCCGTCAGAGGACCAAGGCCCGATAGAGCTTCTGACTGAGATATGAAGAATAAACAAAAATCAAGACTTCATGGAGGGGGGAGCTTGTGATGTGAACCAAGATTCATTCGCCATCTAAACACTTTTTTCTCTCTTGTATCATTTGCCCGCCAGTAGCATGTTGTTACACTTTCACGTCCTACTGCCCTGTTTGTTCTCTTCTTGATCCAGCGTATCTCTCAAACCCCCTTATTGGCTCACAAGAAAACGCAAATAAGGAAACCGTCCTCTCCCAATGGTCTCCAACTGTTTACAAAGGCAGGCCTAGAGAGGACCTCGACAATCCCCATCTCCCCTCATCCAACTCACGAGACAATCTTCTCAACCCACCCTTTCTCTAACCGCTTCACCTCCTCCTTGAAAGCCTCAACCTCCTGCCAGCAATCGAGCGGCCGGCGGTCATTATCCCGCAGACACCGCACGACGTTGCCTCGCGCCGTCTCAACCGCCTCGGGCAAATTGCGCACCTTTTTGCGCTCGGCGAGCTTGGCGCGCAGGGCCTCGACCTCCTTCTTGACGCTCTCGTGGCTCCGCTGGCCCTCGGGCGCGGGCTTGTCTTCGGTAGCGATCTTGTCGTGGGCGAGGCGGAGGGCTTCTGACTCTTTGGCCTGGAGGCGCTTCAGCTCCTCGGCGACGCGGCGCTGAATTTGGATCTCGGTGAGTTGCGTGCGGGATGCATCAGTCTGTGTTGTTTTAGCGCGAGAGGTTAGCTATTGGATCTTTGGCTTATTGAGGGAATAGATGCGCCAAGGGGGGGAGGGATGAAGGACAGATGGAAAAGGTCGAGGCGGAGGACTAGGCTCCGGTTGGGAACTTCATGTAGAGCTTTTTATCGGAGGTGTTCCGGTTTATGTAGAGGAGGCAGTATTTACCTCATGGCTGGTCTGCAGGGACTCGACGAGGTCGTGGGAGATGCCGCTGGGCGAGCTGCTGCGCGAATCTTGGATCAGCCGACGGATTCTGCGAAAGAGAGGCAATTGGAATGAACTTACGCCTTCCACAAGTGTGGAGGCGTGCTGGAGGACGGCTTTGACTCGCTGGCACCCATGATTGCGGCCTCAATGGCTGGAGAGGTGATTTGAATGTTTGGCCGTGATGGTATGGAATTTTCCGGACCGTGACAGACGGTCGTCAAGCTGCAAGCTCCGATGGGCCGGCGAAGGTGCACGTGACAGCCATCATGCTCCGCGACCTTAGTCATCAACCAGACACGGACCACTAGGGATTATGTCATCCTGCTGGATCCCTTGACGTGGTGTGCTTACATAAGACATGGACAGACGGCAAGCGGGATTTCGGGCCACAAGCCAGAAAGATGGCTTGAGATTTCTGTCAGCTGCTGCGGGCTGGTGCCGATTCCTCATTGTCCATATTCCAAACCGCCTTACCCACAATACGCAGATTCTGAACATTGTTCTGGAAGCTTTTGGAGGCGAGCACTATCTCCCTAACCTCTGGCCGGCCGCATCCACAGTGACCCCCGCGCTCCTACCACGCGTGGCCCTTGGGCCAGGTATTTCATCATCCCATCTTGTTTCAAGGATCGCAGTCAACAGATAGGCGGAGTTGGCAGATGGGGGTATCCAAGTTCGCTTTCTGGTTCATCAAGATTGAGACAGGACGGCTATCTCGGTCAGATCCATGAGACGTACGGAGCAGAAGCGCCCACGAACTCCCTCTGCGTTGGGTTGTCGCTGAGCCCAGAATGGATGTGGAAATGTGCATGCCCCGGCGCCAAGAGGGCGGCAAGGGAAAAAGGAAGGAGAAGATACCTATCGTGATGAGGGGCTAGTCGCGAAAGAGAAGCATCTGCGTACGAATACAGATAGAGACTAAAGTGACGGGTGAAAATGAGGAAATTTGGACAAATCTCACGAACCGTCCGAATATCTCGGCTTCATCTGCACGCGTTTGTGTGCTAATGCACGCCAACGCTCACCTGAAGCGGACGGGGCCTGCAATATCGTTGAAACGATAGGTCACCGAACAAGCAAATGACTTCATGGGGGCATCCCCTCTTCACCCACCGCACGTCTGCAGTCTTCCAAGCCTCCTCCCAGACCTCCCAGGCATGTTGGCAGGTTGCTGGCGCCTTGTAGCGGGCGGCTTGCCTCCCTCGCAGAATCCCCTCGGCCCATCTGGTCGACCCGGCCAGGCGGTTGCGAGGATGCCAAGTACCCATGGTGGACGTTGAACCTGGGAGCCTGGCCCTAGAGGGAGGGAAGACGCCTCTATACGGAATCTGGCTCCGAGGCCAAGTGCCAGGATGTTCGGGTGTGTTAATTTGTTTGCAACGACGCTTAACAGGGACTCCCCGCTGAACTGAGCTGGAACCCCGGCGGGCACGGCTACGCCGTCACATCCCGCAATTTGTATGCGGCTGGACGAGAATTGCGAGGTCCCAAGGCGCGATTGAAGAAAATTCGCTGGTGGTTTGAAGGAGACGAGAACGTGGGATGGTTTACCCAGTCGGTTCGTCGCTCCGTCGCCGATGGAGTCCATTGTGAATACACTCTACTATGTATCTTGGCTTTTTTGCTTGGTTGCTGTTCGGGGGCCATGCGAAGGTCGGGGTGCCCTATGCCGAAAGTGTTGATTGCTATCAAGATCAGACCGCGCTTTGACTCCTGACAGACCACACAGACTCCGCGAGCTGCAGCCGTGACAGGAATCCTCAATGACAAGCGTATGAGTCTAAATTTTATTGAGGGGCAGATAACATCTGTCCAACAGCCTACTGGATGGTTCTAGTAGTGCTGGAGATCCGACTAACGTTCGATTACGATCCCTCGGCTGCAAGTTGCAAGCTGCAACTAGCAGGGGAGACGAGATAGGGATTCCGTTGATGTTAGTCGTGGCAAAAGGAAGAAGATTACTTGATAGTTTGGTTGATGAGTTGAGAGCACGGCAACCTCCGGAGCGGTATCACGGAACGTCAGATGAATGCCACGGCAGAATCGGCCGAGAGGGACGGCATAGCATTATGCCTGAGACGTGGATTAATGACTTTGACGAGGGGCTGATTCACATGCTCAGACAGCTTGAGCGATGAGTGGATGGTGGGTCTGGCTTTCGAACTTCTTTTGGATTTTCCCTCCTCCTTTGGATACCCATCAGTTCGTTATCACCCGAGCGTCAGTTGCCGTCTCTTCCAGAATTCCGGAAGGGAGGAAAATGGTTGGGTCCTCAATGGATACGACGATAGCTGCGCATCTTATGGCCCCGTTTCTGGACAATGTCTGTGTCACCGTTCCACACCTCATCGGAATCCGGATGCCTTCTGATACACTAGTACGCAGAATCGAGAGTAGCCTGTGTTGGTGACCTCGTGGCGCTGGACCGAACGGCTTTGGTCTCGGCTTGGATCTCAACTCAGTGAACCAGATCAAGCCTGGCGCCAGACAGGACCCCAAGATGCGGATGACCGATGGGCACCAACGGGAATCCTAACGGATGAGTACATCATCAATATTGTCTCTGGCCATGGAGACACTGGCCGGCTAGGCGAGTCGTTTCCAACGGTCGGCTCATGGGGTCACCAAGACGAGACCACGAAGGGAACCACGGGATCTTTTGGATGGAAAAGTCGGTGGCCCAGCCAATAATTGGAATTTCTTTTCGTTCATCTCAACGTGTTCCTTGGCGGCTGGGCAGAGGAGGCCTTGTTGGACGGTGGATGAGAGGCCCAGAAGAGACCCGAAAAACCCGTCGTGTTCGGTCACTTTAGTGGATCTTCTGTGCAAGTCGAGAATTCCTACAGCTTTGTGCCATCTGCGAAGCTGAGGAGACATGTTGAGTTCAGGTTCAGTCGGGCCCACGAGAGAGAAGCAGCAAATCAGCAGCTGTTAATGAGAAGGATTGGTTGTTGTGCTTGGCATCTTGCGCGAACTGGTCCAGCTGGCCATAGCCGATAGGTCGAGGGCGAGTGTTCACCCGAGCCCGCATCCTTGTTCGTCCGGTCTCTTCCCCTGCCGTTTCCTAGGCTGTGTCTGTTCGCCCCTGGATGAGGGCCCCTTGGCTGGCTGTCAAGCCCTCTGAGAGACGCAGTCCAGTCAGCAACGCTGCCACACTGGCAAGCCCAAGAAGTGATTTTGACCAGTCAAATCGCTCAGGGGTCAGGAAGATGGCAAAAAGCCTGGAAACACTCGGCCATTCAGACTGCGCGTTTGGCCAGGAACGATGGCTCGGCGGAATCGCCCAGGAGAAGCTAAGGGAGCTGCAATGGCTAGTTGCAGCGGTGTCCTGAGTTACCGAGCCCTGAACTTTCAACAGAGTCTGCAATTGTGCAGCGAGCATACCATGTTCCCATTGACCCGTGTACCCTGAGGACCCTAAGTCCCTGATTTTGGGATGATCGAGGCGTAGGGTGAGACCGTTTGCGGCATGAGATTTAACGATGAAGGAGAGAACATATTATCCCTCAGCATTCCACCCGTCCCAAGATCAAGACTCGACGATGAATGGCCCCCCGGAAGAACAATTAAGGTATCGGGTTGTCGAGAGACGAGGGAAGCGAATGAAAATCATGGTAATCAACGCGGCCGAGCAGCCAGGGGCCATCCCTTCAGCCTCAGCGAACGGCAACACTGGATCTCAATGATTGGCGACCAGGGATCGACTCCCTCAGAGCCTGTCCCTGTGTGTACAGAATAAAGTGCTTGTGTACGTATCCCCACGTCAGTGACATCCCTGCGTTCACCGTGAGCGACTTGCCTCTTCTTGACCGCTGGCCATGACCCCCTCCTTTTATCCCACTCTCACCTCAGTCTTGCACAAAGTGCGAAGTCCCTTTGCTTTCCTGGGTTATTCCTGTTCCTGCATCATTGACTTGCTTTCCGTGCTCCATTCGCCATCTCCGCCGGGGTCATCAGTTGGCACTGGCATGAGCAACACCAGTACGTGGGTCGATGTACAAGGCGCAGTGATTCCATTCCAGCATCCATAGGATCGGAATAGGGCTAGACTGACGGCTCGGTGGGCAGATGTGGTCTTGGTACCCTTGGATTTGCTCCTCTTTTTGACCACTGAGTTGAGAATTGCGCGTCTGTACTCCGTAGTACTCTATACGGTTGAGGTGGTAAGACTGGAATCGGTATCAAGCTGACAAGGCAGTCGCACGTAGCCGCGGAGTGGAAAAGGGGTACATGGCTAGCGCACCGCGTATGTGAGGGCCACGCAGGTACCAAGCTGTGCCATGCCATGCCTTGCCCGACCTTGGTTCCTCGTCTCGTTCGTAAGAATGCTCGGCAGGTTATTGGCGCAGAGGAGTCCCCGTATCTGCCTGTATCTGTATCCTGGTTTGGTAACGGATACTTGCCGAAGCCAGCTGGGAGTGCTGGAGCCTGCGTGTACCTGCGAATAGATGAACAAGAAGCTGGCAGAAACCAGTCAAGCGTGGGCTGTGAGGTCCAGTCGATCCAGTCATTCCCGTTTGCCCTTGCACGCCACCTCAGATCCAGGGGGAATTGGGAATGGACCATGTTGCCCTTCCCAGCTAGAGCCCAGCAAAATCCAGTCCAGGCCGCCCCAGGAGGAGCCAACGCCTACCTAGTAGGAGGAGAAGCCTCTCGGCGGCGCTACCGTGGGCCCCCCGGCCCCGTCGTGGCTCGCAGGAGGTCCTTCATGGCCCGTCCCAGCCAGTCTCTTTAAAGTACCTTAATCGCCCTTTCCACGCCCGGTGACCCCAACCACTCTCTGTTTCTCCTCGCCCGTTGTCACGCTGACTCTCTTCGGTCTCCTTTAGGTGGGACGGTTCGCTCTCGACTGGAATTCTGGAATTCGACTATTTTTTTCTTCTTTGCAAAAGAGAGGCTGGACAACACTCGACGACGTTACACGTATTCTTCTTCTTTGGTGGAGACCGATTTGGACTTGTTTCGAGGAACAAAGGACTGAGCAACGAAAGAAAGAGCAGAGAGCGCGAAACATACAGCAGGGGGAACTGAACATCTGAGGTCATTGGACGAACACCACCCACCAAACGCCAGGCAAAAACGGAAACAACGACCGTTGAACCCGACCCTTCCAACCTCACTCTGGAACTTACAACCACATCACCACCCTCACTGCACCTTCCTTCCCTCACGCTCTTTTTCTTGCACTTTTGCACCGTTTGCACCTTCCTTGAAATCATTTTCCACATTCACTAAAACCACGTGAGAATACTCGCTTGTTGATCACTCACCCCCTTCCCCTCCCTTTCGGCAAATCAGCGCTCGGTTCTGCCTTCGAATATCGAACAAAACCCACGCCCATTCTTTCCCATTCAATCCAACTCCGTCAGCGGCGGTGTACACTCGTTTTTTCTCTCATTCCAAGACAATCCAAAAAAGCTCGCGCTACGCATCACATTCAAGACATTTTCAACGTCTCCGTTGTCTTGTTTTACTCCATTTTCGTCATCCAGCAATCCGGGCATTTCAGCTTTTTTGAAAATCCCCATCACTCACCTGCTCAACTTCTCCACACTCGACAGAAGGGATTCCGGCTCCTCGATTCCGAAAAGGACGCGGCACGAGACACTGCGAAGGACCACCTGAGAGACGCACAATATATTGACGTTGCTTCGTCCCCCCGTCTTCTCATACGTCAACTTCAGCCACCTGCCTTTTCTCAATTTGTTCAACCGGCTGCTGCTCGGCCAGATTCAGATCGACCTTGACCTCATTTGGATCGCCAATACACCGACCGCCCTCGCTTCCAGGCAAACGATCAGCACAAGGGTATCGACGCAACGACCATCCGGATTTTTATTCCCCTGGTTGACTTGACGTTCCGTCATTCAGCTTTCGCGCATCACTCACCTCGAGGTTGGACGCATTCCTCAGTGACTCGGTCTCCTGCAGTACCTCGACTCATCACACGTCACCGTCGACACTGTGCTGATACTTACAAAGGCTTCCGCTTCACTTATTCGGAACAGGCCTGCTATCCCCGTTCTTTCTTTGTCATTTCGCTCTCGACCCGAAGCACAATGACATTGTAGCCGACCGGCCCTTCTCGATAACAGTCTGACTTCTCGCTCTCGTGCCTGCCGGACCGTTCTAGCAATTCAGCCTAGCCCAACCAAACGAGGCTATCTAGCTCACGTCCTCGGGAGAAACGAACACTGCTTCACCTTTCGTACTCGACTTTTTAGATTTACAGCAAACACAAACAATACATCTGACCAGATGGACTCTCACCGGCGCAGGATCGCCGGCCTGGTGGCGGATTTTATCCCCACCCAGATCCTTCAACAACGCGCTCATGCCGCTGCCACAACGGGGGCGGCTGAGGCTACCTCCACCATCTCTCCTTACCACTCCAACCTTGCTGGTGTAAACCAGCCCGTCAACATGCTGTTCAAGGACATGCTCTGGGCTAGCTTTGGTGGAATGGCAATTGTCGTCCTGGTTATCACCATCAGCCGTATCCTCTGGGCCCAGCTTCGTCATGTCTCGGCCATGTCGGTTGAGGGTGAGAGGCAAAACTACTGGAAGACGGCTCAGTGGAACTGGATGCCCAGCTTGAAGAAACATCTCATGTACGCCCCTCTCTGGAACAAGCGCCACAACAAGGAGATCAAGCTCTCGAGCGCTATTGGCATCGGCACCTTGCCTTCTCGCATGCACAGCGTCATCCTCGGATTCTACATCGCCAGCAACATGATCTACATGTTCTTCCTGAACTGGGAGAATGCCAACCTGTACTCTTTCTGCGCCGAACTCCGTGGTCGCTCCGGCACACTCTCCGTCGTCAACATGGTGCCGCTCATCATTCTTGCCGGCCGCAACAACCCGTTGATCGGCATGCTTCACGTTAGCTTCGACACCTACAACCTTCTTCACCGATGGGTTGGCCGCATGTCTGTCATTGAGGCAGTCCTTCACACTATTGCCTGGTTGATTGTCCAGATCGCCGACAGCGGATGGGAAGGCGTTTGGCATAGGATGTCCAACGAGCTCTTCATCGGCTCGGGCATGGCTGGTACGCTCGCTCTCATTGTCATCATGATCTTGTCGTTCTCGCCCGTTCGCCACGCCTTCTACGAAACCTTCCTCAACGTCCACATCATCCTCGCATTCTTCATCTTCCTGATGACCTACATCCACTGCGCCGTCGCTGGTCTTGCGGGTGGCCTTCCTCAACTCCCCTGGATGATTGCTATCTTCATTCTCTGGTTCCTTGAGCGTATGGCCCGCATTGTTCGTGTCGCTTACATGAACTGGTCTGACCGCGGTACCACCGATGCCATTGTCGAGGCTGTTCCTGGCGAGTGCACTCGTGTCACCATGAACCTTCCTCGCTACGTCGACGTCAAGCCTGGCACTCACGCCTACCTGAGATTCAAGGACATCCGCCCCTGGGATTGCCACCCCTTCTCCATCGGCTGGGTTGAGCATATTCCTGACCATCGCTCGCTGCCTCTTGGAGTGGACGAGGAGAAGGCTACGCTCACTGCCATTGACAAGAAGAACACAACGACCTCCATCTCTTTCATTATCGGTGCTCAGAGTGGCTTCACTCGTGATCTTTACAACGTTGCCCGCGAGAGCGGTGACCGCGCTATTCGCATGAAGGCTTGCGTTGAAGGTCCCTACAGTGGCCATCACTCGCTCGACTCGTATGGTCACGCGGTCCTCTTCGCCGGCGCTACTGGCATCACTCACGGTATTTCCTACCTCAAGCCCCTCATCGATGGCTACAACAACGGCAGCGTTGCCACGAGACGCATCACCCTCGTCTGGATCGTCCGTGACTACGAAGCTCTCGAGTGGGTTCGTCCCTGGATGGATACTATCCTTCGCCTCCCCAACCGAAAGGACATCCTCCGTATCCAGCTATACATCACTCGCCCTCAGAACTCTCAACAGATTGTTTCGGCATCCAACACAGTCCAGATGTTCCCTGGCCGCCCCAACATTCCTCTGATTATGAAGCGTGAGGTGTCGGAGCAGCAGGGCGCCATGTGCGTCCACATCTGCGGCCCCGGTGCTCTCGCTGATGACGTGAGATCTGCGGTGAGAGAGGTGCAAGACGAGGGCACAGTGGTTGACTTTGTGGAGGAGAGTTTCACGTGGTAGAAAGAAGAAAGATACCCCACGAAAGATCCGAAGTGGACATGATTTTCAAATCTTTGGGCGTCAACGGTACCAAGCGGGGAAAAGCGCAGTGTTTTTTACCATCTCTTTTTTTGCGGATCATCAGGATCAGATCGACATGGACATGCTTCTCACGGCCGATGCCTTGTCTCTAATGGCTCGCTCTCTTCTAACTGTGTACATATTTCACACACCAACTCTTTGGGGCTGAACACATGAGATGGAAAGGTGGACTCTGGACGCACTTTCTGTCGCTGGTTGCCTCGGGCAGTTTTTTCTGGTCTCCCCAGGTTTTCTGGGAAGACATTTTGTCTAATTGTTGGACGTATATATCCCCCCACACGCAGAGCACATCTCCCACTGCGAGACAAAGCAGCAGATCGATGTGGCCCTGTCGTTGTAGATAGCATCCGCCTGTCATGAAGATAGACCTACTTAGACGAAGACGTCAATCGGATTTCACACAAACTTCTCGCTTCCCAATGACCGTTGCGTGACCTCATGTACACCCTAGATAACGTGACGAAGCCGTTATCAATTCTCAACGTACCCTAGTCCCCGTTGCTGTACGCCTTCTCAGTTAACAACAGTATACGGAGTACGTGCACTGAAAGAAGACATCGGAAAGCGGCTTCTCAGCTACCTACTCCGCATTCTGATTACTCATGGTGCCTGGGGTGACACTTGCTAGACGACGTTGCTGGCCACCTACGACTTTCTCGAATGAGAAAGTCGCAAGTGGATGTGCGGAGTTTGAGACATCTGGTTCAGCTGTGACTCAGCCCATGACGGAGCTGGCGTGGCCAAGTTTGCCAAACGGCTGGAGTGACACAAGAGTGGCTGCTTTCATCACCATCGAAACCTGGAAGATGATGTGTGCTGCGTTGCCAAATTCTTGTAGTTGGAGTAGGGAATTACATTGGGAGTCGAGGTCGCATATTTGAGGAGGGCTTCAGGATTACTCTCATCTCTTAAGGCGGAAGATGATGACTAGGTACCGTATCAAGTACCGTCTGTGGGGAAGGGGCGTGTTGTATATCCCAGATCGCAAATCACCTCATCAACCAACGACCTCTGGAAACCATCGGCTTTTTGGAGAGACCCCAGAAGTCTGAAGCTCCGAGTCAGCCGCATCAAGTCAAATCCAACCTCTCCCATTGGAAAGTTTGGTTGCATCGATCAGCCTCATCGATCGTGGAAAGAGTCGCGGTGAAGGGAGTTTGGACGTGCGATGCAAACCGAGCCGGTCATCGGCCGGGACTAAGAGCGTAGTGGACCCGTCCGCCCCATCACCGACTTCTTTCCGGGCCACCACCTGGCACACGATAAGTTGACCGTGGGGTTTTTGCGGAAAACTTGAGTAATTTTGCGAGCGATGTTCGGAGATGGGCTTGGATTACACGGCCGGTTAGGTTCGGCATACGTTCAACGACTGTTTGTTATCATATCTGGCTTTCAGATTGAACAGCGAGCTTGTAGCTGTAGGGGGTTCCAATTGTTCTGGAAGGGCATTGTGCGGCCGAGCTTTACAAGGCGTGACCGTCTTCTTCGAGTACCTACCCAAGA